TCAGAAAGCCCGTCTCTAAATAATGGGGATGAATAGCAGCCCTACTCGATAGACTCCAGACCTGTCCAACCACTGCGACAGAATCCTCCCGGTTCCTTCTTGGGGCTGGAACCTCAGCTTCCTTGCTCCCCATGTCAGGCTTGGCACAGCTGGCCTTGTGACTGTTTCAGAAGCTCCTGTCACTCACAGTCCCAGGGTTGACATCATTCCCACTGCACTCAGCTGTCACCAGGGGCATTCAGAAATACTGAGGATGCATGTGAAAGAAATCATTAATGAGGCAGGCATTAATAAGAGCAGAAAGAGCAGTAAGTCACAGCTTTGAAGAAGGCTGTGCTGAGAAACAAGGCCAAGGCCAGGAACCCAACTGACTTGAGGAGGAAAGGTGCTATCTTAGCTCCACTGAAGAGCCAGGGCTCAGCAGGTCATCTCACTTCACACACCAGCAAAACCTGCGGAGTTACATCTAAATGGCTTTTTCATGTACTGAAAATAAAAATGGACCGGCATATACAAGTACTAAGCAGGAGAGTTGATGGGGAGAAATGGGAAATTAAAGTTGGACAAGCAGACTGTGGTCAAAGAGTTATCCACCAGAACCAGAAACTGAATTTGCATTCAAATCTGTAGGTTACAGGAAGCATAAGTTACAAACATGTATGACCTAACACTTCTCCAACTATCCTGACCATACACCCCAAAATGCGCTAAAGGCAGTGTTTCCCAAAACTGGTGCCAGGCAACACTAGGCTCTCTGTGTTTTTCTATTACACACAATTTGGGAAACATTTCATACTGTGACCTAGAGTCAGTCATTCCCACCCCAACTTCAACCCATGCACAGTGATTACTAACCCATGAAAGGCTCTGAAAATTCAAGAAGAAACACATCCTTTCTTCTTTGCTTCCCCAAATCTGACTAGGTACTTTCTTTGAATACCTATTAACATCGTATATATTTTTGGAAAACACTGATTTAGAGATTCAGAAATATACACACATTTATTATCTTGGTCATGCAAGTGTATATACCTTAAATTAAAATTTTCATGTATAAATACACACATATACATTCAGGCATAGAAAATAGTTTTGCAGCAGAGGATTCTGCAGAAGAGATTCAGTGTTGCATCTGGTACTGGTTCTGTCTTGTTGGTGTGCTAACAGGAAATGTCTTACGCATTTGCACAAGAACTTCCCTGCACAACTTAGAATCTATGAAAATACAGATTCAGGGGCCAATGCTGTGGTGTCCCAGGTTAAGTCTCTGCCTGCAGCACCATCGAGTCCTGGCTCCTCCTCTTCCAATTCAGCTCCCTGCTAATGCACCTGATGGCCCAAGTGCTTGGGCCCCTGTATCCACATGGGAGACCCAGAAGAAGCTCCTGGCTCCAGACTTTGGCCTGTCCCAGCCCCAGCCATAGTAGCCATTTGGAGAGTAAATCAGCAGATAGAAGATCTCTCTCTTTCTCCGTCTTTCTCTGTATTCCTGCCTTTCAAAAAATAAATAATAAATGAATCCATCCTTTCCCCAACACTACCCTAACTCAAACTTAACAGAATCACTCCCTACGTTCTCAAGTTTCCTTTCTTGCTGACAGATCTCAGATGTACAGAAGGAAGGAACAGTGCATTCAAGATGATTCTTGGGTAGGGCTAGGATTTCTGAGGTTTGGGGGAATTACTAACACAGTTAGCCCTCCGGCTGCATATACTGCAAGATGCAGATTCAACCAGCCATGGAAATAAAACATTCCAGGGGCCGGCGTTGTGGTGTAACAACTTAGGCTTTTGCTTGAGATGCTGGCATCCCATATGGGTACCAGTTTGAGGCCCGGCTGCTCTACTTCTGATCCAGCTTCCTGCTGGTGCACCTCGGAAGGCAGAGGAAGATGGCCCAGGTGCTTGGGCCTCTGCAACCATGTGGGAGACCTGGAAGAAACTTTTGGCTTCAGCGTGACCCAGCCCTGGCAATTCTGGCCATTTGGAGAGTGAACCAGTGAATGGAAGACCTCTCTCTGTCTCTGTCTCTCCCCTTCTCTCTCTGTAACTCTGTCTTTAAATAAATTAAAAAAAAAAAAAAAAAAAGAAAGAAAGGAAAACATTCAGAAAAAAATCTGTACTAACATGTATCATTCCCTAAACAATGCAGTATGACAACCATTTACATTAGATACATTGTATTAGGTATTACAAATAATTTAGAGGTGATCTGAACTATATGCGAGGATGTGTATAGATTATATGCAAACACTGCTATTTGACCTAAGGGATTTATACGTAGATTTCAGGATATGAAGGGGGTCGTCAAGCAATCCCCAGTGGATTCGAAGGGCAATTGTACTTGGAGGTTGTAGCTTGGTGATGGGGTGCCTTTAGCATAAATAATTGATAGCAGACAAAACGAATCACCAAAGAGAACTTCCCCTGATCCCATATATACCTTCAACAGGATTTAAACCTCAGGAGCTTGAAGTCAAGGAATTCCCCACAGACTGGACAGCAAGCTGTCTGCCTCTGGCCACACGATCCTGTGTTGTTCTCTTCACTGATTTTATCAGTCTCTTTTAAAGGTGATTCTCCACCAGGGGTGGGGAACCTGTTTTTTGCCCAGGGCCATTCGGATAGTTATCACATCACTTGCAGGCCATACAAAATTATTATCAACTTAAAAATTAGTCTACTACAGATTTATTGAATTTCAAGTCCCACCTACCGTTGCCTTGGCAGGGCCAAACCCAGTGATTCCCTGGTTACCAGATGTTTCCCACCCATGGTTTAGAACTCCAGAAAAGGGGCTGGCGCTCCAGAAAAGGGGTAAAGCCGCTGCCTGCAGTGCCAGCATCCTGTATGGGTGTTGGTTCGTGTCCTGGCTGCTCCACTTCCGATCCAGCTCTCTGCTATGGTCTGGGAAAGCAGTGGAAGATGGCCCAAGTGCTTGGACCCCTGCACCTGTGTTAGAGACTGGAAGAGGCTCCTGGCTCCTGGAGCAGCTCCAGCTGTCATTGCAGCCAACTGGGGAGTGAACCAGCGAATGGAAGACCTCTCTCTCTTTCTGCCTCTCTCTCTCTGCTTTTCCTTCTCTCTCTGTCTAACTCTCACTTTCAAATAAGTAAATAAATCTTTTTTTTTTTAAAGGAACTCCAGAAAAGTAACAAGAATGTTACAGTAAACACCCATATACCATCCTGTCTCACCAACTGTCATCACCCTGCCACCCCTGCTGCTTTCCTGAACTTGCTCTGCCGTCCCACACTGCTGGAAGCTGCAGATGGCACGACACTTCACCACAAGGGTGGTCCCCTGAGACCCAGCGTCACTACTGCCCCTAAGAAAATGAACAGCAATGCCACAATATCAATCCATGTCCCACTTGCCCCCAAATCGTCTTTTTCTTGGTATTCTTTCAAAGTTCCCACCACTCAGTTCTTGGCTATGTCATGTATTCTAACCTACAACCATGAGGCCCATCCCCTGGGGTCCCTGTGTCTTTTTGGCAGGCTATGGCCTTGCTGCATCACAACAGGAGACTCACTGCAAATGCTGCTGAACGTGTCCATCAGGTTAACAGCGGTGAGCTCCTGCTAACCTCTCCACGCTCCCAAGCTGTCTGTGGGGAGACCCCGCGCAGCTTGTGGAAATCCCGCTGCCCAGCAACCTTCCACTCAAAGGTGTCCTCCCCTAGCGGAAGTGCAGGTCAGGCGAGGGTTTGCACAGAGCTGGCGTTCTGGCACGTTCTACTGTGTGCAGGGATTTCCAGACAATGAGCCAGCAGCATCCTCCCACGTCCTCCCGCCTTCCGACTGGAGCTCAGGCCCAGCCCCAGGAGTCACTCGCCCTTTATCTCTGATGCCATCACCTCCTCCAAAGCAAATTAAAAACCAACCAACCACAACCACCTTGCCACCTGCCAACTCAGAGTCTTTTGCCAACAGCACAAGGAGCATAATACATGACTACTGGGTTGGACAAGACAGGGACTATAGGACGTATTTCATTTTTGAAAAGCAATCAGACCCCCTAAGCCCCTGGCAATCTTCCCTCTGGTTGGGGCAAAGCTGCTTGCTCTTCACAACCAGGCTTTCTGGGCTGCTGAGAAACAGGGGCACCCTCGTCTCTTCAATGCTCTGTTCTTGCAAGAACACGGGTTTGTCCAGAGATCACTGGGCCCATGCGCCCCACCTGACATGGAAACAGAGGCTCGGAGGGGTGAAGGCACTCGCCCAGGGTCCCGCTGCTCCTTCTAGTGGAGCTAAGACCAGAGTCAGGTTTTTAAAAATATCTCCCTCACCCCTATGTTCTTTTCACCTCCTTCCCAAGGGCTGGGAGCGTCCCAGGCACCGAGGGAGCCCAGCGTCCATCCAAGGCCTCCTTCTTCGCTCATTTGCATTTTGACTGCATTGCACCCACTTTTGAACACGTCAATTAAAGGTTCCCATTAGGAGTCTATTATTATTATTGTTATTATCATTATCATTATTATTTTAAGCCAAGCATTTCTGCAGTTCAATACAAGCAGGCTCAGGGTGCACGAACGTACACTTCTCTAAGCAGAAAAAGAGGTCCGGGCTGGAGGGCCTGCTCGAGGCCGCTTGCCCGGAGGCTGAATCTCCAGCAAGTGACAGCTCCGAGCGCCTGCAGAAAAGCCTTGGACCAGAGGCCCGCTTCCCCGTCGCTCGCGTTAACAACACAGCAGAGGCGTGCGACTCCCGTGCACATCAAACGCTCAAGGAAGGGAGAAAGTAGGGAACAAAGCCCAGCGTGGAAAAACCCAGCCCCGCAGCCCGGGGGAACAGGCGACCGCGCCCTCGCCGCAGAGGCCCGGCGGGCTGCAGAGGCTGCGGAACCGCAGTGCGGGGCGGGGGACCCACAGCCTGGCTGCGCCTCCCGCCCGGCCGAGCGCCCACGCCGCGGAGCATCCTCCAGCGGGCAGAGCGGGCGCGGCGGCTGCAGACCGCGGCGGGCCCCGGCAGGCCCCCACCCGCCCCCGGCGCGCTCACCAGTCCGTGCGCCCATCCCGGAGCCGGCGGTACTGGGCGTGCGTCCGTCAGCCCGGCGGGAGCGCGGCGGGCAGAGCTGGGGCGGCGCCGCGGCCGGGGCGAGCGCGGCGATCAACAGGCGGCTCCCGGCCGGGCGCGGCGCGGGGCGCGCGGCTGCAGCGGGGCAGGCTGGGAAGCGTAGTTCCCGGCGGCGCGCGCAGGCGGGACCCCCGCCCGGGCGGCCGCGGCCCGGGACTCCGCACCCCGCGCGCGCGCGTGCGCGCCTCTGCGTGTCTCCGGCAGGTGTCGGCGGTGCGCCGGAGGGCGGCCTCGGCTGGGGCGAGGCCGAGCGTCTGCTTTGAGGACAGGGTGCGTGGCCAGGGCTTGTGAGGAGCGTTTGGGCGAGTGGGCAGCTTTGCGCGTGGTCACCCCTCGTTCCCATCCGGCCCAGGGAGAGCCCGGGACTCCCTGGTGTGCTTGCCTGGGAGCGGGCGGGAGGAGCTGGGCGAGATGCAGGGAAGAAGGCGACGAGCAAGGCGGGGTTCGACGAGGTCGCCCCGAGGTTGCCCCGAGGTTGTGAGGGTGTTGGCTTCCCCGGGCGGGAGCCTGGGCGTCCTCATCTGTGCCGTAGGCTTACAGCGTGGGGGCCCCGGGCTAGAGGGTCGGACGACCGCAGTGCGGGCCCCTGTGTGGTATTAGTGCAATGGAGCTTCCTTGCCGGGGAGTTCCTAAGCTCACGCCCTGCCCAGGAGGGGCCTTCTCAAAGTTGGTGGAAACAGGGGATTAAAAGACAAATTTACTTTTGATACCAAAAAAAAATATTTTTTTGAAAATCGTTTTTATGGTTTCTGTAGAGTTAAACGACAGATAGTTGGGTCTTGCAGGGCTGGATAAAAGTTTCTTGTTGTTGGGCCCTGGATACGTGCTGGGATGTCCTTTGTGCCAGCTTCTTGGGAAATACAAGGAAACAAACACGCAGGTCTTGCTTCCGAAGCGCCGAAGTGGGGTGAGGTGCCAGGGGATGGAGACCAGAATTATGAAACTGCGTAGCACAGTAAGGTCACCTTCTGGAACGGTGACCTTAAATTAGAGGTGGTCTCTCTTTGCTGAACCCTGGCTGTGTAGTCTTGAGTGTAACCTTTGCTTAAGGCGCTGGCCCTCACAGTTGAAGGTGTATTTTTTGTTAAGTGGTTTCTCCGGGTATTTCAGTCTGTGGTGGGGGCTGGATGAAGCATGGGGCCTGTCATCCCCACTGGGCGAACGCTGCGTGGAGGTGAAGCATCCTGATGTGGCGTGCGGTTTGCAGTCTGAAAAGAGAAAAGTGCTGTAGAGGGAATTCCATATGTGAAAGTAACAGCCCCCCTTTGCATTTGTGAAACTGTTTTCCTATTCATGTTCCCACTGGTTTTTTGCAATGACCCTCTAAGATGGACAGAGCCAGGGTTTTTTTCTGCAGTGAGAATTTTGTTTTTCCTCCAGTGAGAGAGGTGCTGTGACTTCAGGGTCATCCAGCTGGTGGTGACATCTGTCTCTCCTTCCACCCCAGCCTCACCCCACCTCCACCGCCTGCCGCACCCCCCCCCCCCCCCACACACACACTGTCTTTCATCCATACACTTCAAAAAAAGGCATGGGCTGAATCAGAAAATAAAGCAAATTCTCCGAGGCTCTTGAGGATAGTGTGCGAATTGCAGACTGTACTGGGGACCTACTTGATATTCCAAATGTCCTATGGGAACAAACAGGGTATCTTTGGTTGATGCAAACTGTAGCCTTCTGCTAAATCAGAAAGGGGCTTCTTACAGATCAAGCCGGAAATCTTCCCCCAAAAGAGCTGATGGCAGCCAGAAGCTGAAAATAATAAAGCATTAATAACATTTTGTTTATGTCGGAAAAAGGGTAGCAAAGGCACTCAGTGGTATGCTGTCTTTCTCTGTGGTTTTCTTGTGGTTCCCCACTACGATACTGCTGCTTGTGATGAAATGAATGGGCATTCTTTCCGAAGCACTGTGACAAGAAGCAGACATAGAAATGATTAAAGTTCTAGTTGACAAAGCGAGATACAAGAGCTCTCCTGTACACTCAGAGCCACATGTAAGCTCCAGTAGGATGTTGATAATAAGCTGAAAGTGAGTTATGAAAAGGAGCGTCCGGTCCATCTCTCTCTGTACCATGAGAGCTGCGTTAGTGGATTTTTTTTTTTTTTAATGTTCATCTATTTGAAAGTTAGAGTGACAGAGGAGAGAGAGAAATGCATCACCAATCTGCTGGTTCCTCCCTAAATGGCCACAATGACTAGTGCCAGGCCATTCTGAAGCCAGGAGCCCAGAACTCCATCCAAGTCTCCCAAATGCTTGGGTCATCTGCTGCTGCTTTCCCAGCCCCATTAGCAGGGAGCTGGATCAGAAGTGAGACAGCTGGGACTAGGTATGGGATGTCTGTCACACAAGTGGTAGCTTAATTCGCTGGGCCCCAACCCCAACCCTTCTAGGTACAATTGGATGCATGAGGAAGCTGGAACACTTTACCTACCAGATGCAGTCTTTTTAGTTCTTTTTAACTCTATGTCTATGTCTTGTTTGGGTTAAGGGAGAAAGGATGCCATCATGCCTGTGATTCATCAGTTGAAACCCATCATCGTTTCTGGACCGTATCTTGTAGATTGAACTTTTCCACTTGCTTTTTGGAAAATGAAAATGTGGAACTGAAACACAAGTCTTAGAACGAGAAGGGACCTTGCAGATCTCTGTGTAGCCTCTTCATGCAAATGAGGAAGCTGATGCGTGGACAGCAAATGTCACACACATAAAAGAAAAATTCTTGGTGGCATCTATAATGAAGCGCTTTAATTATTCACACTGGAATATGTTGCAGACCCCATTAGGAACAGGTCTGGGATACTATTGATTGCCTACTCAGCATCTACCCACCCTCTCCTTCCTTACAGAGGCCTGTGTGGAGGTGCCTCACCCACCAGGACCATCTCAGAGGTACCCTCCTAAACCTGTCAGGGGCAGGGGGAACAGAATCCTCTTAACTGGTCTATGGGAGATTAGGAGTTGGCCCCGACCCTGACCCTGTTTTGCTGCTAAGGCCCGAGGGGAAGTTGGCTGGAGGAGCTTCTGCGAAGTGTCTTCTGGAACTTAAACCTGCCACCATCTGTACTGGATGTCCTTGCATCTCCTGCGGTCACCTGAAACCAGAGTGGCCATCGGGGAGCCAGCCTGAGGGCGCAGTCCACCACTGAGGATGGCAGAGTACAGCGATGCGAGAACTTGGGCTGTAGCTGGGTCAGTAACTCAGTCAGCCCCGTGCTGCCCTGCTTCCAGGTTTCTTGTTAGACCGGATGGTAAACATCCTTACTGTTGAGTCCGTGTGAGATGCGATTTCCTGTTACCTGAAGCTGAAAGGTCTTTGCGTGCTGTGAGAAACTCCTTTCTAATGCTGATTAAAAACAACCACCACAAGCCACAGGGGAGGAGATCGGGGACTCTGATGGAACAAATGACAGCCCGGGTTTAACCCAGACCTTTATGTGGACTGGCTGCGGCCAGATTGTTCACCCTCTCTAAGCCTCATTTTCTTCATTTCTAGACAGAATAATAGTAACACATGGGACTATGAAAATTAAATGTGGAAATTTCTGTCCCGTGTGGCTAGGAGATGGTGGCTAGGAAGGACGTAAAGAGTGGTGACTACCTTGGTCAAGTTTGAATTAAATAGTTCTTTTAGTGAAACTGGCAGCAAGCATCTAAAAGTGAATCCCTCTGAAATGGTGATCAAGTTAAAGGACCCCAGTGATGCAGTCTGCAAAACCCACAATGTGAGACCTTCCACACGGCAACTCAGTTTCTTCACTGAATTTGCAAGACAAATGAAAGGGGAAAGAAAGCTTATGGCTATTTGGAAATGCAACGATGCACCAAATGCAGTCTGTGGATCTTGATTTGAACAAGGCAGCTGTTTTTAAAAACCACATTAATGAGAGCTGGGCTTTTGGCACCCTGGTTAAAACACCATTTGAAACACCTGCAACCCGTATCAGAGAGCGTGGGTGCAAGTAACTGCTTGCTTCCATTTCCAGCTTCCTGCTGGTGCACACCCTGGGAAGCAGCAGATGGTGCCTCAAATACTTGGGTCACTGCTGCCTTTGTGGGAGACCCAGCTTGAGTTCCAGTTCCAGCTTGAGCCCCAGCTGTTGCAGTCATTTGGGGAGTAAACCACTAATGGAAGAGTTTCTCTCTCTCTCTCTCTCTTCCCCGGTCTCCCTCTCCTCCCCCCTCCAACAAAATGAAAATAAGTAACAAATTTTAAAAATCATATTAATGGGACAATTGGAGGAGATTTGAAAGTTTTTAGATATGATAATGGTATCATGATTATGCTTTTCAAAAGCAGTCCTTACCTTTTGGAGTGCTAAACTGAATTTTCCAGAAGAATTAGCATCTAGGATTTGCTTTTAAATTAATGTGATGTGGGGGAGGGGGTAGAGTGGCTGGATGGGGGTGCGGATGCAACAGTATTAGTCAGGAATTGATAGTGGTTGAAGCTGAGTGATGGGGACTTTATTAAACTGTTCTCTAAACATTTTTTAATTTTTAAATGCAGTTTTATTAAGATATTTATATTTTCACATGCCACAATTTTCCAGTAGTTTTTAGTATATTCTCAGAGTTGTCTGACTGCGACCCAATCTAACTTTAGAACATTCTCTAAACACACAGAGAAGCCGCACACGCACTGGCCATCACTTCCCACTCTGGCGCACTCCCTCCCAGACCCTGTCTCTCACTAAGCCCGTGACTCGTCCATGGATTTCCTTGCTCTGCACATCTCACTTGAACGCCGCCGTGTAGACCGACTCCATCCTGTTGAAGCGTGTGTCAGTGCTTCATCCCTGTTCTATGGCCAGAGAGCATCCGGTGACGGTTGTGCCACCTTTTATTTATTCATCAGTTGATGGACATGTGGATAGTTCCAAATGTTGGGTATTATACACATTTGTGTACAAATTTTCTGTACACATAATGTTTTCATTTCTCTTGGGTGGGAGTCTAGAAGTGGAATCACTGAATAATGCAATCACTATGTTTAGCTTTTTGGGGGACTTGTTTTCCAAAAGCCCCTGCATCATTTTGCATTCTGCTTAGCAATGGGTAAGAGCTGCAGTTTCTCCATATACT